CTACCCTTCTAAAAAAATAAACTATATAAAAATGATAATTTTTTAAATATTTTTTCCCTAATTTAACAATTTTTTTAAAAAAATTAAAAAAAAAATATTGAAAACTAAATCAAATTTGAGATTGAGAAGGGGTCAAGGGGGTGGAAAAAAAAAAAAGGGTCCGGATCTTTATTGTTTCAGTTAAACAATTAACAAATCTCGTGTGTTTATAATGTAAATTTTTTCAGTGTTTAATGCAAGTGTTTCTTGTATATTAGATTTAGGCCCCCCCAAAAAAAATAAAAATTCACATGTTGTAATTATTTTAAAATTATTCCATTTATTTATAATTTGTCCTAAAAACTTGTGAGTGATTTTGGGCTTCTCTTTTTATTTATTTATTAATAATTAATTAAAATATCGAAATCGTCATGAGATATGAATCACGTGCCTTGTAAAAGCAGCCATTGTTTTGGAATATTCATGAAATAGGAGTATTATTAAATGCATCTAGGACATTACTTGCACGAAAGAGATTCTGAATCTGAAATTAATATTTGACCTAATTTTTCCAACGCATCAACGTATAATCTATTTTGTCTTTTATACATTATCATGTCAAGTTGTTTTTGTTTTTGTTTTTATTTTTTGTTTTTTTTTCTTTTTTAGATATTTTGTCAAGTTGTTGTGATGTCTAAAACGAAAAGGTTTGAAAGGAATTTTTATTTTTTATTTTGTTAAGATAGATATTATAGCTTATTTTGAAAAGTGGATTAAAAGTCATTTTCAATTTTTAACCTACTTTCTTCTTTCATAAAAAAATTAAATTTTTATTTTAACTATCTTCTCAAAACACTCTTTGTGATATCTAAAACGAAAAGGTGTGATAGGAATTTTAAAATTTAGGGGGTTGTTTTTGGGGTATGGATTGGACTAATTTATTAGTTCACAAAAACATAATAGGATAAATTATTAACAAGTTTTCTTTCAACGAGCTGTGACTTATTTAGTCTTATAATTTTTTGTTTATATTCAAAAGTCTTGTAGCATTTTTCTTCTTCTTAATCTTCTTTTTTTCTCTAGACCTACAACCACGTCTTACTTCTTCTCTTTCTCTTTATGATATATAGTCACCGGCAACTAACGATCACTGTCAATTCGGGTTCACTGACAACCATTGACCACCGACTCCTTATTTCACTCCCACCGACGGTAAAGAATGTGAGTTTTCTACGAAGAAGATGAGTAAATCTATTAAGTAGATCTACATCAGATCTGAGTAGATCTAAATAAAAAATAGTTACCGAAGTACAAGCATCTCTTTATATCTGTCTCTATCTTTTGATCTCTCAAATTTTCTACATTTTCTCTGCTACACACTTCTCTTTTCCTGTTTTAATAGGGAAAATTTTCAAATTCTGAACAAGTTGTTTTCGAATTTTAGTTACGGGCAATGAAAACTGTAAAATTTTACAGTTCAATTTTTTTGGTGCTGAAATGAATCATACTTTAAAACTGCAAATTTTACAGTTTCATAACATGTTTTTCAGTTTGATTAATAAAGATAAATACTTAATAGATTTTTGCTTTGAAACTATAACATTTTATAATTTCAAAGCTTGTGTTTCAATTTGATCAATATTGAAAATTATTAGCTTAAACTATACAAAAATTAAAAAACAATATCTATATATATATATATTCCCATTATTGTTGTTTCTTGTTATTACCTTTTTTTAATTTATCAATATTTAGCACATTTTGCTATATTTTTTGCCTTCAGTTTGATTAATAAAGATAAATGCTTAATAGATTTTTGCTTTGAAACTATAACATTTTATAATTTCAAAGCTTGTGTTTCAGTTTGATCGATATTGAAAATTATTAGCTTAAACTATACAAAAATTAAAAAACAATATCTATATATATATATATTCCCATTATTGTTGTTTCTTGTTATTACCTTTTTTTAATTTATCAATATTTAGCACATTTTGCTATATTTTTTGCCCTAATTTCTCAATTTATTATTTTTTTTAGCAATATTCTGGACATCTCGGTGAGTCTCCGACAATATTCTTAACATTCAACGAACGTTTTGGATATTCCGATAACTTCCAGTGACTTTTAGAATACTCAGACAATAGTCTGACAACTTCTGGCGATATTCCGATAGCTTTCCTGTAATGTTAAGCATTCCGACAAGTCTCCAGTGACCGTTTGATAGAAGTTTGACGGTGGTGAGATATAATTGGTACAAGTATTTTGTTTTGAGATTAGATGAGTTTTAAACTTTATGTATGAGACTTATTGGTAAGTTTCCCAAAGATAAATAAGATAAAATATTAAATTCAAACCATAATCATTTAACTTTTTTTTTTTCACAATTATCACATTTAAATAATTAAAAAAAAGGCAAAAATTTACTTCAAACACAAATTTTTTTAGTCAAACTAAAATAATCAAAAAGAAGCAGCTAAAATTAGAATAAATAGCCGTTTAGGATTTATTTGGCAAAGTTAAAAAATTACAAAAATAATTAAGTAGTTAAAATTCATAATTTTTTTTTCTATTCTTATTATTTTTTATACAATTTAAAAAAAATAAAAAATTATTTCTAAACACATTAATTTTTTTAATATTTTAATCAACAAAAAAATGATATTATCTTTTTTGCGCTAAAATCCCTTTAACTAAACTAAAAAAAAAAGTTGGTGTAAAAACATCTCCATCAAATTAATTATTTTTATTTTGAAAAAATTGCAATAAAAAAAAAAACCTATGATTTTGAGTCTTGCAACAAAATAGACCACGAATTTTTAATTTTATCAATTTTAATCCTAAATTTTTGATTTATTTCCAATCTAAATTGTTTGCATATTTTCATTAAGAAAAATCAATCAATTTTAATCCTAAATTTTTGATTTATTTCCAATCTAAATTGTTTGCATATTTTCATTAAGAAAAATCAATAAAAATTTAAATATTTGAATCATTAAATTCAATATAAGTATACATTTGTCCATTTTCATTAAGTAAAATCGACAAAAAAAATTAAATATTTTACTTGCATAAAAAAAAATATTTTAGATATTTTATATATATACTTGCATTGAATTTATTGATTAAAATACTCATTTTTCATTGATTTTATTTAACAAAAATAAAAAAATGATTTAAATTGAAAATAAATTAAAATTTTGAAATTTAAATTGATAAAATTAAAAATTCAAGATTTGTTTTATTACAATACTCAAATTTTGATTTTTTAAAAATAATTATCCCTTTTATTTTTTTAGTTCAATGAGTAAATCATCAAAAGTGAAAACAATTTCGCCAAATAAATTTATTTTTCATTGACCATTAAAAATGTATTTTATCCTAACATACATAAATTTAAAAAAAATGCTAAAATATATTTTCTATTAGGATAAATTACAAATACACCCCTTAAAATTTACCTAAAATACAGATTGCTCATGTTCTTCTAAAATTACATATCGCTCATTTAAGTCTTAATTGCATAACAAATTACTTTTTTTTATTAAAAAAAATTTAAGTCAACTAATAATTTTAATAATATCAAAAATATATTTTAATTAAGAATTTAGATAATTTTATTATTGTATAATATAGAAGTTAGGAATTTTATTTTTCAGTTAATTCTGTTTAACAAAAATAATTATAATTTTTAAAATTATAAGAGAATTCGTATTTTAAAAAAACCTCAGAAATTGTGTTTGTAATATACCCTTTCTATATTAAAAGAAAGGATTCGTTAATTGCAATCATATTTCAATGTTCTGCTACATCACAGTTCCATAATTATGCTTCCTCTTGGAATAGCTCGGGACAACAATTTAAAGTTGTGTTTGAATTGTAAATTTATATGAAAAGTAGATCAACTGAGAGAGGGAAAAGGGAGAAAGATTAAAATGACAAATTTCACTTTATCCCTGTGATATACTCATGCAGTTTAGCCTTGTCATTTGAAAATAAATATGTAACCCCCTATCATTTGTGGACTAAAATGTGTTGTCAAGTGCAGGAATATAAAGAGGTTCTATACTCAAATTCAAGTGTCAAGAGGTGTGAACCACACAATGGAATTAATTATTTATAAGGATATTTTAGGTTTTTTCTCTCAATCATTAAAAGACCTAACAATGCATTTCAGTTCAAAAACTATTAAGTTACGTGTTTTCAAAGGCGATGAGATTAAGCACACATGAGCTAAACCAAAAAAGATAAAGTGAAATTTGCCCAAGGTAATATATTTAGCTTCTACATCCTTTCGTTTTTTTCCTCACTATCCAAACACAGCCTACAAGTGCCATACCTAGAGGGGGTGCCATTTTCATCATTTGGATGCTAGGAAAAGTCTAGCTTAACAGAAGAATTCTATTTCTTTTCCCCCTAATAAAACCCATAAGAATTCAACCCCACGAATAGTCATCTAGCTTAACAGAATAGAATTAAATTCAACTTAACCTAAATTCCAATCCACAACCCACTTTAACATTTCAAAGCTAATGCTAGGTCTCACAATACAATGAAATAGAAAAATCAATAATTACATATGAACTCCTTAAATAAGAAAGAAAAACTCCAAACACATGAAAAGAATAACACCCATACGTAGATAGTGAGGGAAGTCATGCTCTTAACATCCTACACAAGAGCTCTGGGCAATGAGCTAACTCAGAATCATTTTTAATCTACGATTATAATCCAAATGAAAGAATCCAGGAGATTTTTAAAAAATCTGCACTAGGGCATACATGCATATATTTTGTTGAGAAACATGTAATAATTCCTTAAAAATACAAAACAAGCTTACATACCATCTGTCCTACTTTTTGTCCATTTCTACTATGTCAAACATCTCCAAAATTTCATTTATATTTTTTAATTTATTCTTTTTTCAATGCTTTTCAGGACTCCATCTACGAGAACTAAGAGAGATTTTAATTTGTGTACAAAAATTCACTGTTTATTGACTCAATTAAAGGGCATGAATATAAAAAATGTACAAACAATTTGAGATTGAGGGAGTAGCACATAAGACATGCATTATTTAGTATACATAATTAACCTCAAGAAGTACAGACAGAAACATCTTACTTTTCTATTGAGTTTACCTGATTGAATGAGGTTAAAAAATCTGTAAGCTTGTAGACTTTCCTAATTCCTCGCACAGAGATCCATCGCATGCCAGCCACTGCCTTTGCTCTTAATGAACTTTGCGCTGTTCATAGAGGTCCAAACCAGCCCAACTGCAAACCCGCTCAATTTCTGATTCGCTGATCCAAGATTCATCCACATCGAGGGCATAACGTAATCCTGCAAACAGCATTCCAAGACAGAAGAAAAAATTATGTTCAAAGCGATTAATATTGAAAAGCACAGGAGTATTAACTGCAGCATCGTTTGATAACTATAGTGTTAAAACCTATCACCTACTTCACCCACTTAAACCTACTCCACTAAACCTAACCCACTACACCACTACCACATCACCTACTCCACTAAACCTAACCCACTAAATCCACATACTCTCCACCTACTTCACCCACTTAAACCTACTCCACTAAACCTAACCCACTAAATCCACATACTCTCCACCTACTTCACCCACTTAAACCAACTCCACTAAACCTAACCCACTACAACACTACCACCTCACCTACTCCACTAAACCTAAATCCACCTACTCTCCACCTACTTCACCCACTCTCACCTACTCCACTATGTTTTGTTACTCTCTCCAAACTCAAGTTGGCTAGTTCCTATCCCCCTTGAGTTTGCGGGGGGCTGTTAAAACCTATCACCTACTTCACCCACTTAAACCTACTCCACTAAACCTAACCCACTACACCACTACCATCTCACCTACTCCACTAAACCTAACCCACTACACCACTACCACCTCCACTTCACCTACTCCTTACCTACTACACACTCACCCTCTTCTATATATAGGAATCATGAATCATTGTAATACAAATCAATACATCAATCAATAATACATACAATTTATTTTCTCTCTATCACTTCACCTACTCCTTACCTACTACACACTCACCCTCTTCTATATATAGGAATCATGAATCATTGTAATACATATCAATATAAATCAATCAATAATACAATTCTCTATTTCTCTTTATACATTAAATTTCTACATATAGCCTTTTATCTTCACTTCCGGATTTTCGGCAAACACAAAATTATGCTTTTCACAACATGATGTTATATCATTAGCATGATCAACTGATGTATTATAGAATAAACACAAGTAAAAAAGAACAACTACAACAATTGAATATAAAGAAAACACTCTATGTAATTGATTAATAATTCATCAAAAAGCTAATTTCTCCCAAGGCTTACATTGATATTTATACTAAGAGTAAATTACACTTTACTCTCTTTAAGTTTGGTCACTTTCATATTTTAGCCCTTAAAGTTCGATTTTTTCAACTTTAACCATTCAATTTTTCAAGTTTTTCCCAATTTATTCTTAAAACTAACTTACGTTCAAAATTAGACAAAAAATGCCACAATAACTGTCACATAACATAAACAAATATATTATTATATTGAAGTTTAAATTTATGTCAGAATAATAAAATATTTTTATGCTACATGATTCTCAATGTGTCATTTTGTGTCTAATTTTTAACAAAAATTAACTTTAGGAGTAAAATGGAAAAAAAAAAAAAAAAACTTTAAACATGAAGGGCCAAAGTAGAAAAAAATAAACTTTAAGGGCCAAAGTAAGAAAGTGACTAAATATAATGGGGGCAAAGTGTAATTTACACTTATACTAAACTAATTCTTGTTATTCATGAATATCTTAAAAAGAATGATAATTCTTGTAGAAAAAGAAACACAAAATAGAAAAACTAAATCAAGAAACCTAATAATTCTAGAATATTCTATACGAAAATAAAAAATTCCTAATCAATTATCAATTTAAAAATAAAAATGTAATATTCTTAAACCCTCGCCAGCATCAGCAAGGGACCAAGAAGCAAAAACCAAAATTAAAACTTGTATGCACATTCCAAAAGTCATCTTAAACAGAAGAAACCAACAGCTGAATAGAACAAGATTAACCAACCTGCTCTGTGATATCCAAGTAACCTGAAAAGATGTGAATTGGCCCCCCAATAGCTAGTAGCACGAAGCAAGAATATATTTGCTAAAACATAGGCAAAAAAAAAAAAAAAAAACATGAATTCTGCAAATGATGAACACAGCCTCCTCCTATACATGGGAGAAAACTTATATTTAGGAGTACACCATACATGATCGATCTCTCTCTCTCTCTCACACACACACACACACACACACACACAAACACACACACACCTGCTATCTTTACAAAAATACAAACATGTGAGTTTCATATTGAGTCATTGAATGCCTATCATGACTGCCAGAACACATAAGGATCATTACTATACAATGTGCGATCCTGAATCTCTAAGTTAGCCACATGATAATTAATGAGTTGGGCTTGGATAACTTTACACAGCACAAGTCCAGATGAAAGCATCCACCATCCACTTTCATCCCTGCAACCAGGATCACCAGCATGTACACATGAAAGCAATATCAAATTATGACAGTTAACAGCAACCAGTATCACTACTACATCAAATATTATTGGCAATGAATGACATTTGCCCTTGCAGAGAATATAAGCTCCTTACATGCTAAAATTCCAGGACTGAAAGTTTTGATGCTTTTTATTTGATGAGGACTGAATTTTATAATGAACAAATCCACATATGAAAGCAACTACCTGCCACAACAAAGGATATAGCTGAGAATTCAAAACAAAGTATATACACAAGTATTAAGCTCCATTCAGTGAAAAGTGTTAAAATTGATGTATTATTGATTGATATATGTTGTATTTACAATGAGTCCTATATATAGAAGATTAAAGGAGGTAGGTATGTAGTAGGTGGAGTAATAGGTGGAGTAGGTGAAGTGGGTGGAGTAGGTGTAGTGGTAGGTTTTGGTACATTTTAACAGCCCCCCGCAAACTCAAGGGGGATAGGAACTAACCAACTTGAGTTTGGAGAGACTAACAAAACAAGAAAATAGACGAATACATAAAATAAAAGAGGATAGGAGACACTGTATGGTCGTGTCAGACCGTTGTAGAAGACTGGATGGTTATGGCAAACCGATGTAGACGACAGTTTATGGGGTCATGTCGGACTGTTGTAGCAGACAATGTTGTGACAGTTGTTGTGACAGTTTACGGAGTCTTGCTGGATTCTTGTAGAAACTAACCGGAATCAATGTCGGGACAGGTTACAGAGTCTTGTCAGACCCGTGAAGGAGCTAACCGAAATCAATGTCGGGACAGTTTACAGAGTCTTGTCGGATCCTTAAAAAGTCGCACCCTCAAAAGGTGTGCCCAATCTTTCAAAAGGCGTGCCATCAAAAGGCGTGCCCAATCCATAAAAAGGCGTGCCATCAAAAAACGCGCCCATGTTGTCGTCTAGCGCCGAGCGACGCATGATACGCGTGTCTGCCTCTTCATCATGGTCTTTATAAACCGAAGCGGAGGCTGAGGCTTGGAAGCATAACCAACCAGTTGAAACCTCTTCGTTCTCTGAAAGCTTGTCGCTAAGAGCTGCAAATCTTGAAACACTCTGTAAACACTCTGTAACCAACCCTTCTCTGAAACACTCAGCAACCCATAACATGGCATCTTCTTCCCGTTCAGCTACCCAGAACATGGCCTCTTCTTCCCGTGGTCTGCTCACTCTCTTTCCCGACCTCAACGAGTCAACAAGAGAGATAACTGGTGCGGGGGCCTGTGAACCGCAACCAAACACCTCTGATTTTGCTCCGTTGAACTTTCCTATGCGGTCGGTGGAGCAAAAAATGGCGGTGCAAACTGATATTGAGGCCAATCAGTATACTTTGAAGTCATGTGTGGAGACCATGACGGCGGTTACAAATTTGTCGCACCGGCTGCAGAGTAGGACAAATGAGGTGCAGCAGTTAAACGCCCAACTGGCTCTGCTCCAACGCATGTATAAGGATGCGCGAGCAGAGATAAGTGTGCTAAAGGCGGAAAATAAGGAGCTGAAGCGGAAGGCCACCGTGATGTTCCGATTTGGAGGTCCACCATATGCTGTAGTGGAGGAGCAGGGTGGAGTGATCGTGCCCAGTGGAGTGGGAAACACAGAGGTAACACCGTCAAGGGCCGCCTAGGACGGAGGCAAGAAGAAAAGACCGGCGGAATAGGCGAAAAAGTGAGGTCGGTGTGTGGCCGTCTGCAGAAAAGAAAACAAATCTGTTGTTGTAGTGGGTGTTGGATTTGCGTTTTTTTTTTTGTATGGTGTGGAGAACTGTGATCAGGGTTGATCCCTAATATAAATAAAACAAAGTTGTTGTGCAAATCTGTATTTTTTTTTTTTTTTTTTTTTTTTTATTTTTTTTTTAATAAAAAAGAAAGATAAAATAAAATATGGAGCAACGAGAGTGGACAGCTGGCCCATTACTTTGGTGAAAACCAAAAGAGCAGAAGAGCACCATTGCGGTGGTTGTGTGATATAGTTTTGATATTGCAGTGAGTGGGATGCAAAAGGTGAAGATTGGTTTAAAAATAAAAAAGGGGTATAGGTATGTGCAAAAGGTGGTGGATGATGGGTTGGAAAGTGGTCAGAGAGAGAGAGATTGGGGTACATGATGATGATGATGATAATAAAAAATTGGTTTTGTGTAATGTGGCTGTATTAAAAAAATGAGAGGTGATTGTGGGAGTGGCTGAAGTCAAAAGTCAATGGAGCAAGTAGATCTCGATGAAGCCGAACCAAACCTTGATGTTGAGAGTCAAACAAGACCTTGATATAGCCGAAGGTGTAGATCTCAACGGAGTCTGCGTAGATTTCGTGTGCTCTGATCTTGCGATCCAAGCCAAGATGAACTCGATCTGACCAGATCTGGAAGGACGGTGGTTGATGGGGGGAAGAAGTCGCGATGGTCGATCTGAGCTCGTCGGGAGGCGTGGTGGCTCGCAACGGGAGCTCGGCGGAGGTGTGGAAGCTCTCCGGCCAGATGACGTTGGTGAACCGATTCAATATCTCAAACAGACCAGCTGTTAGTGCCACGAGAAACAAGCAAGAGACCACCCGGACTCACTCAAGAGGCTCTGCACCGTTTGCAGCTGGAGGTTTTCAGCAAAGCCAAATATAGCAGCGAAGGTGAAATGTCGAGGGCATCACAGGAATGTAGTATTTGTCTGGAGAGTTTCATGGAGGGAGACGAGCTAATATGTTTGCCGTGTACGCATAGATTCCACTTGGGCTGCTTGGATCCTTGGGTTCGGACTTGTGGGGATTGCCCCTACTGTCGAAGAGTTATAGTTGCAACCAGTCATATAGAGTGATGATGAGACAATTGTGATGAGTTTGAATGCGTGTCAGTGTTGCAAGGGCATACACAAGATGTTGAAATGGTCCGGTGGCATCCGTCAATGGATGTGTTGGTCTCGTGTAGCTATGACAACACCATCAAGGATTGAGCAGAAGAGTTCTCCGGTGACTGAGCGAGAGCAGCATGGCGGAGTTCTCCGGCGAGCTCGGTGGCGGCAGAAACAAAGGGGCAGCAACAAAATTGGACTGTCTGATCATGAATCAACGCAGATCGTCAAGTGAGTATGTGTAGAAAATTCTAGCGGACTAAGTTGAGGTCCGGCGGGCGGCTAAGGTGAGGTTGCCGCCCGCCGGGAAAGCGAAAATATTAGGTTCTAAACCTGCTCTGATACCATGTTAAAATTGATGTATTATTGATTGATATATGTTGTATTTACAATGAGTCCTATATATAGAAGATTAAAGGAGGTAGGTATGTAGTAGGTGGAGTAGTAGGTGGAGTAGGTGAACTGGGTGGAGTAGGTGTAGTGGTAGGTTTTGGTACATTTTAACAAAAAGGATAATAGAACCACGAGAAAATCAAGTCAGGTATAGCATCGAACTTTAGTAGATGCCACCCCCTATGAAAAATTATTAGATACTTCTGGAGTACTGTGTGGCATTGTCTACATGGTTACTTCCAGCCATTGAAAAACCACAACACACTAAGAGCATCTTTATCAAACTAGTTATTTTCATTATTTAGCTAAAATATCAAGTAAATCACTAAATTTCACTTCTATCAAACTAATTAAAATTGGCTCAACAAATGTACAAATATTAAAAAAATATTCCTTTTCATATTTTGAAATTAATTGTGATGAGTTTGTAAAAAATAATTCTAAATTAAAATTAATAAAAATAATATTTAAATAATATAGAAAAAGAATAGAGAGTTTGTTGGACAAAGTATTTAAAAAGGTGTATAAATCAAAATATAACAAAATTTTAACTAGTTTGATAGAGATGCCCTAAGTGGGTCATGTTTTGTTTCCTAAACTACCTACCAAAGGTGAGTCAGCATGTGTGATTGGTTTGGAGCACCATGTAGGCAATGCTGCATGGTGCTCCGGGACTAATGAAAAATTACACCCACCTGTAGATGTAAGTATATGAACTCGATACTCAAACTACGTAACCAGAGCTTTTACCACAACGGCAAGGGAAATAATAACAGGTAAAAAAAAAAACAAAAAGCAAATAAGCACATCCAAAAAACACACCAATGGTGATCACCCCATAAACTAATGATAATAGAATACATGATTATTAATGGAGAGGATCATGATATACTGATTTTTTTCTTTCCATTGATGCAGACAAGTAACTTATGATTATGGCAGATCTTATACCACAAGAACTTGAATACAAAGTTCCAAGTATATTTCCAACACCGAGTAATAAAATGTAGGATAAATTACACTTTTAACCCTTATAGTTTGACCCAAATTTCACTTTCATCCCTGTTGTTTCAATTTAAACAATTTGGACCTATACATTAAGTCCAGTTTCAATTTGGTCATTCCATTCAAATTTGACATTAAAATTAACAATTTTGTAACAAGTGTCAATCACTTGAGGTGTACCCTTAGAAAAAATTGATGGAAATTTGAACGGAATAACCAAATTGAAACTAGACTTAAAAGTGTAGGAACCAAGGTGAAAATTGAGTCAAACTATAGGCGTGAAAAGTGTATTTTACCCTAAAAGTATGCATCATGCCTACTTTAAGACAAAGAAACTTCGAACACCCTTCCAACAACAGAAGCTCAAGCATTATCGTGCCTCCATTCGCCTTTTGAGTAACACGACTTGAGGTTTAATAGCGCTGAGAGAGAGAGAGAGAGAGAGAGAGAGGAATTATTTTCACAACCTGGAATTTTGAATAACAAAGTTTAGAACTGTATTTTATTAAACTAATGCCAAATCAATCTTATTTGATTTTGGGAGTACAATAGTTTCTGCATTAACTGTCGAGTAGAAGTATAGTAAATTGACAAAAAAGGTCATAACTTGTCATTATCCACATATTTGAAATACTATATTGAATCATAAATGGCTAAACCCACAGCCAGCCTTCTCACTTAAGTGGGCCTCAACATGTGAGACAGAGGGTTGTAGATACAGCCCAAGGGCCTATGGATATAGCCCCGCCCTAAGGCTGTGTTTGGATTTTGGATTTGATTAGGGATTACAAATGCCCTACTCAAATCCATGATCCAAACACAGCTTAAAGAAATTTGTAACATCACAATTATATACATTCGGATTATGGATGAGACACTGTCCAAGTAGTGTTTTGTTGTCTATGTTCTTACATTCAATCAATTCCCTATTTTGACAAATATTGAGCCAGGATAGAGAACAACTTACGACATTTATCAAGGATGTGATATTCCATAGAGCATATACACGAGCAAGACCTGCTGATCGCCTGGGTCCATGACTAAATAAAGCATTGATTCCAGCTGGGAATGGAAGCAATATGCCAAGAGGAAGGATAAACAAAAACAAGAAGAAATCCAACAGCGAAATAGAGTATAGCTGAAGCAAAGTAAGCAAAACTAAGCTAAAATCTCCTAAGAGTAGTATAGAGATGACCAAACCGACAAGATCCTGCAACAATGTAAAAGTATATCTCAGAGAGTGAGAGAGAAGCATTTTGAAGTTTCAAGAGATACTGATAGATTAACATCATAAAAACATCAAAATTACCTGATGACCAATAGGTTTAGTATTATGAAGTATAAAAGAAAGAGGACAACATAGAGTCTTCTTCTCTTCAAGTGTTTGCAAGATCTTAATTTGTAAAATTCCTCCACCTATACTATTATGTGTCAATAGATGTTCACAGGCGCTTGAATCATCCACTGTTTTCCTCCAATCATTATTAATTAAACTGCGTATCAGATAGGAAAATAAAATCAAGCTATTATGCCATTCCATCTAATTGGTTCTAGAGGAACTATTTAACCAAATGGACAAATAAATGAGAAAATCACATGCAAATTACCATGACTGTTGCTCAGCTAATGAAGTTACGTTTGGCTCTTCAACTGATGGTTGCGTACTTTCATCTTCAACAGAATGTACAGTGAGTCCAAACTGGCGATAACCACAAGCAACGGGCTGAAAGCAAGCCAGATCAACATGTACACCATAGGGACTTAAAGTAGGATTTGCATGTGTTTCAAGCCAGTTCATTATTAAACAAAAACTTGTTCTTAAATGTCCACGGCGAACTAAACGCAACTGAGCATTTAGACCAGCCACTAATCGATACCAGATAGTAGGAGGGACAGCCTGCAATATGCAAAAATAACAGTCAACATCACTTTACTAGAAGAGATTGGAATGAGATGTTATGCTGGTAAAATAATTCATATGAAAAAAATAATCTTGAACATTCCATTATCTTTATCAATAACAAATAGCAGACCTGACTCATGAGGCTAGTGAGGATATTGTCACTGTGAAGAGAGAAAGGAGCCATGTAACTTCCATCTCCTCCAAACAACAAAGACATTGGAAATCTTTGCTGAAGGCGAGGAGGAAGGTCAGCTCTTTTTTCATCTCCACCGAGGAAAAAATCCACATATCCAAGCATTAGATCAGAAGTTGCAGCTACCTGCAGTAAACAGAATAGATGTTAATTCTAAAAGTGGTTAACCACAATTGATATCAAACAAATTGTAACAATACGTTAGGTAAATATACAATGTCAGTGAAAAAATTTCATCATTGATTAACCAAGCATGTGTCATTGCAGCATTCTGGGAACAGGAAAACGAATCTTGCTTACCAATCTCAGCTTATGAAAACTAGTTTTAAGTAAGGTGAAATGCGCACTGTGAAACGGAAAATGTCCCATTATCTGGGCACAATTGTCCTATTTTGCTCACCATGAAATGGGAAACGGATTGTGTTTCCCACAGAACTTGTTTCCAACTATCTGAGCACTGTAATACAAATGTTACTCCGTAACACAGCTTTCAAAAGATATTTAAACAAATGCTACCCTTGAGTAAATGGCATCAACCCTTTTGCCAAGAACTTTCTTTGTCCATGCAACCCAACACTTTCAATCTTCATGTCTCTCACACAAGCTCTAAATCTTCAAATCTTTTTCGATGCAAGTTCCAATTTTTCTCTATCTGTTTATAAGATGCCTATATATATTGATATGTTGTCTCAAGAAACATGTTAATGTATATATTTAATGTCGCAATTCATGCATTGGGGTTGATTGAATTTCTGTATTTTTCACTCAGTTTCTTTTTTGTTTTAATGTTCATTGACCTTATTACTGGTTTTGCTTTATGGTGATTTCTTTTTGGCTTAATAAAACACCAAGTAATTTATTATCACTTCAATATACTGCAAATACCAGTGACATCTCAACTTTTGATCAAATTAGAAAATCCAAAACTATAAATAATCCTCAATGCAGCATTAACATTAATGATCATGCATTTTTTACAAATATTCCACATTAACATCCCGCAGAAATAAGAAAGTCAAATAACAAAGTGACATTCATTGACTTTGGCATTTGTAAGAGATTTTCTAATGGAAAGACTCCTTCAGAAAAGCGAAGGGTAGAAAAAAAAAAAAAATACTCCAACAAAAGTATATGTACCTCTTACAGCAATTATTCCTCAACTACTATAGTTAAACCCCATGACCTAACAAACTCAATTATAAATCCATATTAAAGATAGTTGAGCATGCATTTAGAGTAGAATTTGGAAGATTACCTTGAGCCCTTCATAGAGAGCACGTGAACGACAAGAGCGCAAGCAAGCATGATCATATTCTGATCGAACAAATTCACGTAGTTGTTGTATTTTGTTTTTGCGGCGCCACTGCAACCATGACCATGCAAGTGGATATGCAAGAATCGAAAGAATGCTGTAGACTGAACCTTCCCACCACTGATAAGCAGCCAATGCATTGATCTCATCCACAAATGTGTTGAATGCATCCTCATATCTGCCACATCAGCGAACTATTTAGAACAATTCATAGGGTTTATTAAAGACAGAAAGCTTTTTCTTGTGCTTTGTGTGCCACAACCTGCACTTTTTCTTTCCTCTAATTTATTCTTACCACTTGTAACCATTTATGAGAGAGAGAGAGAGAGAGAGAGAGAGAGCTTACACAATTTCTATTACTTGTTCTGGAGGAGAGTAAGGGAGATGCCATGGTTCACTGAAAGTGTTAGGCCCCATAAAATACATTCTGTGCACATGAGTTTGGGATTCCTCAGTTCTACTAGTTTCCATTACCTAAAGAACATAGAATATCATATTCAGAATAATCCTAAAGAAAACAGAATACCATATTCAGGATAATCTGGAATAATAGTACAGCACTTCAAAAGTTAATGTGACTTAGATACCACAAGAGAAAAGGCAAAAGTACAAAAGAGAACTTCAAGACCTCATTCAATGACTCCAGAAAGGGGAATGAGCGATCTATTTGCAAGCCACATTGGGCAGGCACTAGACCTGGCAGTTCATCTGAATTGACAAATTTCATTCGAGCAACACTAAGCACCAGCGCTAGCAGAACGAGGAGAACTAAGAGAATAAAACCAAATAACCATGGGCCCCCAAAAGTGTATATCAGTTCTTCAGGGGTGGTATAACAGTGTGGCATGTGATATCTCTCAGAAATGCACTTGTAAGGACAAGGGGCACCAGCAACACCACCTGTTAAAAACAATCCACATAGAAAATGATTATGGAAAACAAAGAAAACATAACATTTTGAACTACGAAGCTTTACTTTTTATTCAGTATCACCATTAATGAAAAAACAGCAATCATTACCCAATGGCATTCCAAAAATTGTAGGAATAAATTTCAGCATGCAATAAAAACGCAGCAGTCCTTCAGCATAGCAAAGCCAGATATATAATTTTTAAAGATACCTCGAACAGCAACATAAATGGCACGATGTGAGAGTTCATGAGATGGGCATTTTCTACAAAGGGCTCTATCAGATCCACTGACATTTTTATATGTCCCAACTGGACATTCCTGCATGACAGCATCCTCAATTAATAAAATGCCTGGTAGTCAACTATCAGATCAAAAACTAATTCTGGACAATGAGGTGCAAAGTATATAATATTAATTAGAAACAGCAAGGCTACCTGACAGAAGATCCCATAAAGCCCTTTTGGACAGGATTTTCCGGTGACAGTTCCATTCTCCCCTGCATCACCATCACCTATGCCCAAACCACCCCTAACATCAAGAAAAAAGAAAGAAAATTCAAAAGCACAAATGAGCATAACCACAACCATGTATGAGATTGCTAACAAACGAAGTGATCAAGAGCTCCAATCAGGACCTCACTAAAATGACCAAAATCTGTTCAAACATAAATAGGCAATATCTAGTCATTTGTAAAGACATCATGTAGACAGCAGCTTTGTAGTGCTAGTGAAATAATATATTAAGTTGAGATACGAACCCAACATGGATGGTTCCATTTACACTTGCAATGGGCAGGTACTCATCCCCAATGGAAATATCTGACCAATGAAAGTGAACCCTTCCACCACCTCCACCACCACCATTGTGACCACCATGTCCTCCAACAGTTGAGATAGAAGAAGATTTACCAAGGGCCAATGCATGAATAAACAAAAGAATAGTTCCACCTGATCCACCACCTGGACCAATGTTCATAACACCCTGCTTTCCGACATTTTCTTCAAAACTCTCTCCATCAGCTCTAAGTGAACCATCAATGGACAAACTTGACAAAGAGTGCTCCAATGAACCCATCACTGTTTGGAGGGGAAAAAAAAGAGAAAAAATTAATGAAAGAAATCATCTCTTCAGGAGAAAAAAAATGGAAACCAGAATATATAGGGGTAAAGATCATTGAGATGAAGGCAACAGTGATTACTTAAGTGATACCAAAAATCTAATTAGCGAAACAGGCAATTTTGTGTATCTGAACTTGGAAATGAGAAATGTCACTGATACAAATATCAGTTGAATTCTGCTTGATCCCCAGATCAGCCTCATGAAATCCTTAACATTACTCACAACATGGACTAGCCAAAAAGTTCAGGAACATGTATCAAACAAGTTCGCACCACAAATATATCCAAACTATAGCAGTCCAAATTCCCAACCCCCCACCCCACTCCACCCCCCCCAAAATAATAGAAAAAAAAAGAAGATAAATATACATATATATATATATATATGTATATATATTGGAAAGAAGAAGATATGCATAAGCAACAAAATAACAATCACCTTGCTTGTTTCCATTTTTCAAAAAACACTTTTCAGAAAATTCTACTTTCTTATTTTTCGTATTTTTTTTTGTTTTTACTGAATTTTTTTAATATTTTAAGCAATTTTTGTACTTTTTAGACACATCTAACATAAATACACCTAAAAAGTAAAAAAATTGTAAAAAAGATATTTTAAAAATTCACTAAATACCAAAAATACAAAAAAAAAATAATAATAATACAACTATTCAGTACATATTTTGTATTTTTATGTATTTATTAATTTTTTAAAATATTTTTTCACATATTTTTTACTTTTTAGATACATCTAAGTAAGTTGCATCCAAAAAAGTAAAAAAAATGTTTAAAATTTAAAAAAATATTCACTAAAAACAAAAAAATACGAAAACCAAAAGACTCAGGTAGCGTTTGGTAGAGTTTTGTAAATGTGATTTGAGAGTATGAGTTGTATTTTGAGTTTGTGTGTTGTGGAGTTATGATTTGAGTGTAGAAAATTTGTTTGGTAAAGAGTTTTGAAAATAGTTTTGGAAAAGAGGTTTGATTTGAGTGGGAATTGTTGATGTGACATTTGATATATGATACAAAAATTTACAACTCATAACTGTGATGTTTTTCGCACCCAATTCATTTATTGATGCATGTGTCTTGTACCCTTCATGATTAAAAAAATTTCAGAAAATATTTTTTTCAAAAAAAAAATAAAAAAAAAAAAAAAAAAAAAAAAAAAAAATTACTGTTCCGGACAGCCGGCCGGTCAACCGGTCGGACGACCGGCCGGACGTCCCCTTAGCAAAAATTTTGAAAAAAAAAACAGAGCAAAAGAGCGGCTGAGACAGATTTGGTACAGAGCTCTCAGCAGAGCTTTTGAAACGTGATTACAAAATCCTAAACAAACATCATACTGAAACACAGGTGTAGAATCACGTTTCAAAAGCACAACCAAACACAGCCTCAGTTTTCAAAAAACTTAATCCAGAAAACTCAAACCAAACACACTGAACAGAACCAACAAAAGGAGAAAATACAGAAGAATGCTGATAAGATGCATGATTGCAGTATTCTTTTAAGCAACACAACCAAGCCCAAGCCCTTTCTGACAAATATGAAAGAATCATTTACTGGATAAATGAAACTTAAGTGTGGCAAAGAGGTAGACCATAGTTGTAATGGCAAGAAGCGGCAACAAGATGTCAAATTCTTCCAAGAAATGAGGCAAAGCATTTAAGGTGCAAGGCATATATATTACATATATTTCAATTTAACTCAAAACAAAAACACAAAACCTGTCCTCTCCTCCATGAAATTAAAATGTTGTATGTGGAAGTGTTTCTGTTGCAGCAGAAAGAGAAGTATTTACAAATAGTACAGAAAGGAATGGATTTGAAAATTTGCCTACTAATTTTTCAGTTGCATCGTTTATGATAAAAATATTTCAGATATGGTGAGCCTTGCAACATGAGACACTTCCCTGACATAAGACTCAAATTTTAATGTATGCTCCTAAGCAAACACCTCATGTTAGTTCATTCAGCCTTGTCCGAAGTATAATACATATCAGTAAGGCAACATTTATTAAACCGTCCATTTAAATGCTTACCTATGACACCACCGCCAGAAGTTGCACCAGCCAGACTTTCATTTCCACTACCACTGCCAAGTTCACAAGGAAAATCAGCATTCCCATATACATCACCACCCTTGATAGCACTGCCATTATAATATCCACTCCCACCTTTGCCACCATGTCCACCACCACCACCAAGACCATTGCTCAAAAATCTTCCTCTGCCTACCCCACCTTTGCAGCCTGTATATGTTCCAAATCGAAATTTCAAAGAACATGCTTTCACTCAATAGGCATATTTTACATCAGTAAGTGGAAGAAGTAAAGTGTTTTAAAAAGAATGACGTGTGGGAGAACAAAGAAAAAACAAAGGAAGAAGAGTGACAAAGCATACCCAAACCAGATGCACTTATTGCACCAGGAGATTGGACAACTACAGTTCTAACCCAATGGAAATGGATAACAGATCCTTCTATGAAACCCTTGACACTTATATCTTCAACTCGACAAATCTACAAAAGCAAATGAATTCCATCATTTTGTCAAAAAAAAGACAAGAAACTCCAAACCAAGGACTTCAATCTGACTTAAAGCAACACCTGAAGAGTGAAGGACAATGAAGAGTTCAAATTGCAATCCTCAGGTGGATGAAGCAGTTCCTTGGGGCAATCCTGGAGTTCACAATAGAGCCTCGGTGTCCTACCATTTATTAAAAAAAATCAACTGAACAAACTATAGCAGTATGTGCATAAAGCATGACGCAAATTTCAAAAACCAGTACTCACACATAATTATTACTTGCATTCTCCAAGGGACCTCTCAAAACAGATCCAGGCCCAACCTTCATGTGAGAAAGGAAGATTCAAATGTAAACAGATATATCAGGAAGCCTAATATTATTTTACAATTTTAAATGTTTCCAAAAGAAATAAAATAAAAAACTAATTCAGAAACCATGAAAAGAAACAGAACAGGAACCCAAATATGAAAGGAAAAACAAATAATACTACAAAAGTAACCAAAAAAATTATCTTCTTTCCTATCCATTGTTTGATTTTTGGCAACAGAAAATATCCTTGAATTTGTGAAAAAATATCTTCTTCTAAGTTCAAATCTTGCAAATAGACATTGCGCATAAGTTAACTATACCATATTTTGGAGTCTCAGCAAGCACAGATTGAGACGTAATGTAAAAGCTTTTCCATTACTCTAAAAGAATAAGACAGGACAATGTGTTCCATACCATGTATGAAATGGAAGGCACTCATATGTGTTTGTTTTTCACTGCAGAATACTAAACTAGGGTCGTAACCAAATAACAACTAGAAGTTCAGGCACCTTTAACAGTGACAGCATTTTCCCAAGTTCTAGGCCCTCTTTTCATTTTATTTTATTTTTTGTTTCCTGCCCTGTAATTCCATGTAAACCCATTCTTCCAAATCTTATTTAACTCTGAAAACTTATTCCACCATCCAGTCCATCTTTTAGGCTGTGTTTGGTTCATGGATTTGGGAAGAGATTTGGAAAGAGAAAGGAAAAAGGAAAGGGAAAAATGTGTTACATGTGTGTGAAATGTGGTTATATTCATTCACATTTCACCCACCTTTTCCATTTCTCTTTTCAAATCCCTACCCAAATCCATAAACCAAACACAACGTTATAGTGGGATATATCCCCAATAAAGTAGTGTGATAAATACACAGGATAAACCCATGAACTTCAGTCTCAAATTCATTATTTGTGGCTTACAAATCACAGTATCACAACTTTTCAGTTTTTATAATATATGTTTCAAAAAGGGTGGACCACAGACAACAAACATAAAGTACAATCAGATTCACAACCTCCAAAAAGGGCCATATTTCTTATGATGGCAATTTGTAGCGAGAGTATAGTGAAGTGTCTTACATTCTTTTTGTAACAACCTTAGTTGCAGGAATCGTGCAACCAGGTGGCGATTCTGAGTAAGAATCGCGATTTCGTGTTTCCTAGAAAGAAACGTGTCACAATCACGTTTCTATGGAGAGAGAAACGCGATTCAGTCCAAGATGGGATCGTAAAAGGGGGAGAGAGAGAGAGAGAGGGGGAGAGAGAGAGAGAGAAACCTGGTCTTGCCGTCGACTTCGACCTTCGCTCTAGCCCTAGCCCTAGCCCTAGCTTTCTATGTCGACCTTTGCTCTAACCCTAGCCTTCGCCTTCGCCTTCGCCTTCGACATCGACATTGACGTTGACCTTCGCTCTCTCCTTCGATCTACTAGCAATCTCTATTACATGGACTCGCTGGTTTAGGGCATGGGTTTCTCGAACATTGACCTTCGCCCTAGCCTTTGCCGTCGTCGTCTTCTTCTTCTTCTTCTCTCTCTCTCTCTCTCTCTCTCTCTCTTGTCGATATAATAAATAATATAATTTGTTATATAATAATAAATCTAATTAAATCATATATAATAAAAAAAATCTAATAAAATCTATAAAATAAATCATCTAATTTTTATTTTTTATTTATTTTAACATATTTTATTATTCCTTATTTGTTATATTTTTTTATTTATAATATATATATCAATTAACAATAAATTATATAAATAAATTAAAAATATTATCAATAAATAATAATACCTAAGATAAAAATAATAAATATATTTAAAAATAACTATTTCATTCATCTCAATATAATAAATATATTTTAAAAATTAACTATTAATATATATAAATATATATATATTACCACTCCCCAAGGCGCTTCTAACCTAAGAAACTTCTATCGGCTCCCGCTCCCGCTTCGTGCAATAAAGGTAACAACTATTGCTATTTGCTATATTGGTTATAGATTATGGCCATTTGCGTACAAATATGGACTCACTACAAACAAACAGTGAATTAATTTCCATCAAGAAAAAAGAAATGGAGACATTGATGTAATAAATAAGGGAACAGATTATTGGAAAAAAATTCACATTCAGATATGCTGTCTTGGTTATTCCTATAGCAAAAGCTAAATTGATTAAAAAAAGGCTTTAGTTTAGTTGCTAAGTCATCTTGGTTTTAAGAATAAGGTTAAACTGCAGGTACCCTATCATCACAAAGAAAAGAGCAAACAAACAAGAAGATGAAGCAAAATCCTTCGTAGTTATGACCCTTAAAGAGAAATGAACATTTAAAATTCAAGAGGAGCATCCAGCTTACACTTATACTGTAAAATAATGATAAAACCAAACGTTGAGCTTCAATCACATCTCCTGATCCAGACAAGTTCATAAAACCTTGCCCATGAACTCCCAAATTTGCATTCGAATGTATTACGGATGATTCCTGCCAACCAAATACAGTTAACAATATCAAACAAGAAAGCAAGATGAAACAAAGATTGAAAAATGCTGGCCTCAAAATAAATAAGTATGAGTTACCTTCAGGACCACTAAATTGCTGGCCTCTAGCAGTGATGTTGCAACAATTGCATCACCATCACCATCTATAAGGATTTTTGAATTCAACATCAAGTGGATTTTGACAGCCATTCGCAAAGCACCATATACCTAAACTCAATCATAAAGTTAAACAAAAAAATCATCATGTTGTACCATTAACATACAAGAAACATTAAAAACAAAAGGAAAATTTTATATAGCAGCTATTGCATATGGAAATAGTTGAATTTTGCAATAAGGCAATAAGGATGACTATAGAGAGATAACAGAGACAGAAAAAAGAAAAGTAAGAACACAAATGTTTAATGTGATTCAGCCAATATTGGCCTACATCCACACACACAAAGCCCTAAAGGGCTACATCTTTCATTCACTCCAACTTGATATTCTTGTTTACATGATACACCATATATATAGAGTGGGAGATACGATCAAATCCCTTTGCTTAAGGAATTGAAATAAATCAATGATACAAAAAATCATAATATGAACAAATCATGGGATCTCCATATATTCTGATATCTTCTATCTTCTATCTTCTAATATCTTTGACAATATAATATTATCTCCAACAGAAAAAAGAACATACAACTCTACTTCTATAGATATCATAAATGCTGCAAGAACCTTCTATTATTCAGCATGGCTGAGTAACTACTCTATCTGCCATGCTTCAAAATTCAGAAAGGCTGCAAATAATTAAAATAGCAGAGAACTGGACATGAGATCATAGAAAAGTTCTAAAAAGGCTACATGTAATATAAAGAAATGTGCATGCAATCAAGAAAACAGCTCTGAAGGTAATTGAGTCACATTTACGGTAATTAATTTACACCAATTTTTTTTTAATAAAAAACATGTTATATATATATGCTTTTGGATAAGTAATGTATGGAGACTTGGAGATTCGAATTTGAGTCTTCTCTTTATTGGGGAATCCAAGCTAACCCACTGGGGTGTCCCCTGGGGGAAAAACTCATCAGAAATTTTCCTTAAAAGAACAGAGAAAAAATAAGAAACATCAAAGATGCATTGGACTCATGAGGCAAAGAACAAATTAATGTGTTCTTTCTCAGCCTAGGGAAAAATGTAAATATTCAAACTTTTTACAATGAAATGTGACGGATACTCTTTGAATACATGCAATGTTGTGTACATGAGTGGATAGTGACATATTTTAAGATTGTACCAAGGCACCATTGAACATAAGGTGGAATTTCTTGCATTGTTATAAAAAATATAATGACGCATATATATGCAGTTGAATGCAAAGGACACATTAACCTGAATGAGAATGACATGACAGATATGACCTCAAAAGGCTTAAATTGGACATAAACCGAAATGGCAAAAGTCAAATCTTAAACAATCACATAGGAAGCAATAGACTAAGGCCAACACTTAAATAGAACACAGAAAAAGTAATGCCAACCACTTGCCTTGATTGTCGAGTCACTCATTAAAAGCTCTTCTGCCATTAACTCGAACTCTGATAAGGCGTAATGTGCAAGCCCAAAGCTCATCACTGCACCACATGATAAACTAAATTGTCCTTGCACCTACATTACATTAGCATATGAATATCTAGATATAAACAAACTACCATTAAACAGCAAAAGCAATATCATTGCTGATGAATACATCCATAAAGTCAGAGAGCACATAATAGCAACTACAATTTCTAACAGAAACCTTTCAATAATGAGATTTGAAAGAAAAACAAAACGAAATCCATTTTTAACTATAATAACAGATTTCACTTAAAGATGTAACCATTTTGCAAAGTAAATTAGAAGATCTCAAATGAGAATACAATAATCCCACTTGAAAAATACCAAAAGAAGAAAAAATGTTAAAGAAAGAAAGAGATAAACAGGGCAGCCAAGAGCAAGACAAACAAAATAAAAGTAAACATGGACAAAAAGGAAGTACTTTCTTTCAGGGAGGGGGAAACCTTTAATCTCTAAAGCAAGAGAATAAGACTTTTTTACACCAGCTCAACCGAAGGGGAGATGGAGACAACAATATCTCCTGAACTATTTCCTACACTCCAACCACAGCAACCTTTTTTTTTTAGTCTATTTTCTTCAGTTTTTTGTTGTGAAGAGGAACAAACTAAGACTTGCATGATACCAATTTTTGTGAATTCCCTATAAGGACCTCCCAAGTCAAAGAATTCAATTAACCTTCGCATAAAAATACTAAATTAGCCTCTTCCACCATCTGTTTCCTCATTTTACACGCACATGCCAAAGTCCAACATGACAATTGTTGTTAATATAGGCCCCCAAAATAAAATCGTGCTTTTCACTATAAGGTGTAAGTTTTCTAAATAAATCTGTATATTCAATTATGTTTGTAATACAAGAGTACATCAGTTTATATAACAATCTAACGTAAGACTAGAAAGAAAATAAGAATATTTACTCAATCCCTAATATATACAAAATATATATACTACCATATATACATAAAACTATATATTCTCACACCCCCGCTCAAACTCAAGGTGTTTTAGTAGAAAACATTAAGAGTTTGTCAAGAAGAAATTGAAACCGAGCAGTGGTGTAAATCTTAGTAAAGAAGTTAGCAAGTTACAGAGCCGAAGAGACGAAAGGAAGCGAGATAGAGCCAGATTGCAGATGCTGACAGACAAAATGACAATCAATCTCAATGTGTTTTGTCCGCTCATGGAAGACAATATTATGGGCAATCTAAATAGCACTGCGCTTGTCACGGTAGAGAGAGGTCGGAAAAGACTACGGGACACCCAAATTAAACAAGAGACTATGAAGCCAAACAATCTCAGCAATAGCATGAGCCATAGCACGATACTTAGCTTTGGCAGTAGAGCGAGCAACAACAGTTTGTTTCATGCTTTTCCAAGAGATCAAGGAATCGCCAAGAAACATACAGAAACCAGACGTCGACTTGCGATCAGTAATATCACCAGTATAATCAGAATCAGCATAGGCCACTAAGTTCAAAAAGGAAGTAAAGGACAATAGTAAACCTTGAAATATAATACCCTGGAGATAGCGAATAATCCGGACCAATGCAGTCCAATGAGCAGAGCGAGGAGTAGAAACAAACTGGCTAATCACATGAATAACATAGGTAAGATCAAGACGAATAACAGCCAGATAGACTAAGCAACCCACAAACTCTCAATATAAAGTAGGATCATTCAAAGGAACACCACCAGTAGTGTTGAGCTTCACATTAAACTCAATGAGGGTATCAGAAATCTTATTGTCATTAAGACCGACACGATGAATAACCTCATTGGCATACTTGGCCTGAGACAGAAAATAACCCTTGGGAGAGAAACTACCTCAATACCAAGAAAATATTGCAATGGGTCCAGATCCTTCATTTCAAAGGTACGAAAAAGATACTTCTTGACCTCAGAGATAGCAAAACAGTCACAACCAGTGATGATCATATCATCCATATAGAGTAGTAAGGCAACAAAACAAGCAGATGTGTGGACGAAAAACAAAGCAAAATCCTAGGCACAATGATGAAACCCAAGTTCAGTAATAGCTGTTTGAAAGTGATCATACCAAGCACAAAGAGATTGCTTTAAACCATACAGAGTATGCTGAAGACGACAAACCTATCCAGAGGAGTAAAAAAGGTCAAGGGAAGGACACATGTAAACCTCCTCAACAAAATGATCATTAAGAAAAGCATTCTTAACATCCATTTGATAAAGAAGCCAATGACATCCATCTGATAAAGAAGCCAATGACGAACAACAGCGATAGAAATCAAAATACAGACAATAGTCATCTTCGCAACATGGGCAAAGTTCTCTTTATAATCAATACTATACTCCTGTAAATGACCTTTACCAACCAGGTGAGCTTTGTATGGCTTAAGAGAACCATCAGAATGAGTTTTGACTTCGTAAACTCATTTGCAACTAACCAGATTCTTCCAAGTAGGCAAAGGAATCAACTCCTAAATACTAGTTTTCAATAAAGTAGACAACTCATCCTCCATAACTCAAATCCAATTAGGATCTTGGCAGGCCTTGTTGTAAAACTGGGGTTCTGAAAAGGAATGAATAGCAGACAAGAAGGTATGATAGGAAACAAAAAACACGTGTTAGAAAAACCCAACCTGTCCAAGGGATGACGTTCACGATCAGGATATCGCCGAGCCGCAGGATCAGTGTCTTCAAAAGCAAGAAGAGCATCAGTAAAGAAGAGACAACTGGTGAGGGAATAGCCTTGCGACAAGAATAGACTAACAGTAAAGGAAGTGAAAGAGTAGAAGAGGAAGTATGGGAAGAAAAGGGAACTAGCTCAAGGTAAACAGTAGAAATGTACTCATCAGGAGGAACCTCGAAAGGAAATAGATTAATGTGAACCAAATCCTCTTTGAAAACTAGGGCAGTGAGAGTAGGAAGCTGAAAGTAAGACAAACGCTCCAAAAAGGCAACATGGCGGGAGATCTAAGGGAGGCGGAAAACAGGATCATAATAGCGATAGCTTTTCTGAGTAAGACTGTAACTCAGAAAGACACATAGGATAGACTAGACACTAAAGGATGGTTTGGGATGTTCTAAATAAGTGTACTTTTTGACTTTTTATAAAAAATAAAAATAAAAAATGTGTAGAAAAGTAGAGAAAGTGGTTAGAAAAGTAAAGAGGAGATGTTGATTAATGTGACCCAAATAAGTGTATATAGGCAAAAAAAAGTACATTTTTTTAGGTTAACCCAAACAAGCACTAAGTTTTGTCCTATTTTTCCAGGAAAGAAGGGCAAAACACATAGACCCAAAAATACGAAGGAGCTATGATGTACAGACATGGACACGAGACACGACACGGACACAGGGATACGCAAATTTTCAAAAAATAGGGGACACGACACGCTGGGGACACGTTTAATATATATAATTTTATTTATTTATTATATGTAAAATTAAAAAATATAAATATTTTTTATTTATTTTAATATCAAATATTATTCACAAATTAAAATTTTTTTATAAATAAAAATAATTTATTTAAACAAATAATAATATCTAAAAAATAGAAAAAAGGAAAAGAAAAAAAAAAATTTTGTTCAAATATATATCTAGTATATAATATATATACTATTATTATTAGTATATAAATATATATATATATGTATATACATTATTAGTATATAATGTATATAGCGATCGATGGTCAAACGAGGGCGCCGAAACACCATAGCGAGAGAGAGAGAGAGAGAGAGAGAGCAGATAGTGATCGATAGTCAAAGGAGAGGGCCGAAACACCATAGCGAGAGAGAGAGAGAGGGAGACGACACAGACGACGCGGACGAAACGAAGAAAGAACAAGAAAAATGAAGAAAAACAGAAGAAAAGAAGAAAATCAAAGAAGAGATTTGAAGAATCGAAGAACATACCTAATCTAGGGCTCCATTTCAACAAGTTCTTCACCTTCTCTCTCTCTCTCTCTATGCAACAGGTTAGGGTTTCTCTCCTGCTCTTTCCATAATGTGTCCATAGTGTGTCCAACAGTGTCCAAACGAGTGTCCGGCTGCAAAAATTCAAAAAAAAAAAAAAGGGACACGTTGGGTAGAGTGTCGAACACGTGTCCACTGTGTGTCCAACGCGTGTCCGTGTTCGACACCCAAACGTTGCCTTAGGAGACGTGTCCGTGCTACATAGCGAAGGAGTAATTGGGAAGTTGGGAAAACAGAGTCTCATAAGGAGAACGACTAGAGAGTAGGGTAGCATACGACTGAGAAGGAAAGTAGCTGTAAGAACTATTTCACCCCAAAAGGAAGCTAGAACAAAGGCAAAAATCAGAGACCTAACTGTATCAAGGAGATGACGGTGTTTACGCTCAGTGCAACCATTTTGGGCAAGTGTATTAGTATAGGAAGTTTGGTGAATGGTACCCAAATTAGCCAGATACTCATTGAACTCAATTTTAAAATATTTCCCACCTAAGTCAGATAGTAAAAATTTAATGGTAGACCCAAACTGTATAGTGATCATTGACTAAAAGATACGATATATTTGATAGAAGTCAGATTTACGAGTCATAAGATAAACCCAAATATAGTGGGTGCAATCATCAACAAAAGACATATAATATGAAGAACCCCCTTTAGTGAGAACAGGAGAAGGTTCCCAAACATTAGTATACACGAGAAAATGAAGATATAGAAATAGAAATACTTTTATTAAATGGTAAAGATAACATTTTGATAGGTTTACACCTCCGACGTTCATCAATTTGAATAAGAGAAATTTTACCTAACAATCCTGACTGAGCTAAAGACATAAACGGTCAACAGACAAATGACCTAAGCGAAAATGCCATAAACAAAACTAACTTGACTGAGAATCTAACTGAAATGAGGAAAGTTCAAATGGAGTGGTGGATAAAGGGAGATGTAAACTTTCTACCACATAGAGATCTCCAACTTTATGGCCGGTCCCAATCTACTTTTTAGACACTCGATCTTACACACAACAAATAGAAGAGGCAAACATAACATCAAAACTAGAAGCATCAAGTTGATTGATAGCTAATAAACTGACAGATAGCTGAGAAACATAAAGAACATAGGGAATAATAACAGCAGACATGGTAGAGAATAAGATAGACTCAATAGATAGAATAGACATACGAGACTCATTAGCAGTATTAATAGTAATAGGAACGGAAAAGGAAATAAATTTTAAAGTAAAGAAAGGTGAGGAGTCATATGATGAGAGGCACCAAAATAAAAAAGATAGACAGAAGAAGAGATACTTGAAGAGGACCGAAGTAAACCTGAATGAAGAGAGGTAAGAGCAGAGGCAGATGGAGATGTCTGAAAGGTGGACCAGATATGCTGAAGTTGAGCAATCTGAGCACTCAAGGAAGCCAAGTTAGGATCTGGAGTTGAAGCAGATGCAATATGCAAGAGACTGGAAAGTACTCGGAGTAGGACCGCAGAACTGTGTCTGAGGTGACTGAGAAGAAAGAGCAAGTTGACATCCTTTCTTGGAACAGTTGTACTTCCAATGACTCCTCTGATGGCAAAAAACACTCATCTGGACCTAATGGCCTCTTCTTGGGCTTTGCAATGGCCTGAAGCTGATGGGGAGGTGGAATTCATAAGAGAAGAGACTTAGTAAGAGCCAAGAAGGCAGAGGGAGGCGGAGTCTAACTGGCTGTCTTAAGACGGGTTTCCTAGGGGAGGAGCTCATGAACAATAACATTCACAGGGGAAGAGGCAATCGGTGAGGGATGTTACCACGGATAGCTTCATACTGAGGAGAGAGAACTATTAAGATCTATACTAAACGACCTTGCTCCTGAAACTCAACATAAGCGTATAGTACCTTAAGGCTAGGTGGTTCCATGAGAGCTAACTGATCCCAAAGACCTATCATCTCAATATAAAAATCTTGAATAGTCTAATCTCGCTGACGAGCACTCTGAATAGTTATTTCCAACTCATACGGCTTGGCAAAGTTGGACTGCTGATAAACACCCAATAAATAATCCCACACCTCCTTGGTAGTACTGTATTTGGAAAACATCATTCCAATAGGTCAAAACTTGGGCATTATCACAATCCTAAGTATCACAGGAAGTCAGATATTCTTCCTTCTTCGGGTTTGATGGTCGAGGAACAGAACCAGAAACATAGCCCCATTTTTCTGACCAAGAAGAAAATTCTTCATAACACTGACCCAATAAACATAATTGGCACCAGTAAGTTTGCATTTGATGGCTTGGATTTTGGTGTCCGACATTGTAATAAAATAAACAAAAATTGATCAAAGGGTAATAAAATGAGAACTAATGAATCAAATTGTAATAACCAAAACTAAATGGGTTAAACAATAATAAACAAACCATGGTACCAGATGAGTCAAATATTTAATGGAGCAAATCAAAAGTATACCAGATAAGTTGACCAAAAGAAGCAGAACCAGAGAGCGAAGTTGACTTAGCAGTGAGGAGTCGAAGCTACAACGTCGAATAGATGGGTGGACCAGATGGGTCACCCAAGTTGACCAAAAAGAAAAGACGAACCTCGTCAAAGGGGAGTCCTGCGGCGAGAGAGAAGATCAGCAATCGTCAACAAGAGAGAAGGGGCTTTGATCAAACCAAATGAGCCTTGAATCAGATGAACTAGACCCAGACGAACCAGACGGTCAATGAAGCAAGAAGCTTCGATTGACAACCAAGTCTGAGAGAGAGAGAGCCAGATTTAGCCAAGGAGAAGACTCACGGCCAACGACTGCGACACTCTTCAACCAACGGCGCTAGGGTTTTGTAACCAGCTCTGATACCATGTAAGTTTTTTTGATAAATCTGTATATTCAATTGTGCTTGTAATACAAAAGTAAATCGATTTATATAACAATCTAACCTAGGACTAAAAAGGAAATAAGAATATTTACTCAATCCCTAATATATATAAAATATATACTACCATATATATATAAAACCGAATATTCTCACATAAGGAACACTTTTGTCTTCGTGTGCATAAGAGCGGCACTTGTGTTTATAATGGAATCATAACAATTGTCTTCAATAATTAAGTCCAATGAAACTAGCTCCAAGTCTGAATAATGTAACGTGTACCAAGCATCATAAAGGGTTCCATGATAAAAATTCATTTATAAAACATTCTTCTGCACATTATAAGAGAAAATATAGTTAGACCTCCTAACAAGTTTCACAAACTATTTTCAACCTGTATTAGACAGTTGTTCTTCACAAAGCCCATCAATAGAGAAACTATCCTACATGACTTTAACCATCTTGAATTCATTACATATCAAGCATTCCCAACAATTTAATTCAGGCCACCTCTACTTGCACTATTTATGTTTATTAGAAAACATGTATGTTACTAACTAGATATATGAGATGAGAATGATTCCCACACAAAAGTGATAGGGGGAAAAAATGTGGATACAAGGTTGGGATATGTTCTACCAAAAGAAGCCTCAACAGAACAAACTAATCATTAACCTCAAGCTAGGATAATAAATATTATGGCATATTTCACTTTACCCCCTTGTGGTTTGGCCTATGTGCAGATTACCCCCTCTCATTTGGAAATAACTAGATAGCTCCCTTGTGGTTTATGGACTAACATTCCGTCCAAATTAATAGCAAGTGTGAAACATATGCCAGACATAAGGGGGTTATATGCTCACTTTCAAATTTCAATAGGGTAAATTGCACATGGAAGAAAGAACAGAGGTCAAAGTGCATTTTGCCTCCTAAATAAATGACAAAAATATTCATAGTTCACACACTTAAGTTACATATATACTGAGTTATTTTAGTCTTTTTCATGAAAATTGTTAACGAGCTTAACAGTGCACTTCAATCCACAAACCACAAGGGGGCTATATGGTTATTTCCAAATGATAGGGAGTAATCCGCATACGGGTCAAATCATAAGGGAGTAAAGTGAAATTTGCCCTAAATATTAATAATCAAACTACCTGCACACGACTCCAGAGCAAAGGAACAGTAGCTCTAGCATGATCTTGAATATAAACATTTGTCCACAGCGGCTGATTAGGAAACTCTAAAAGAAGTGTATCAGTATCTGTGGACATGTTGTTATTGCTCACAATTAGCCTCCGAGGAACGGCATCATAAAATGTCCCTGCTGCACCTGAGTTTCCAAGACACCCGTAACTTCTTCCCCCTGCAAGCAAAAAGACAAGTATGTGGTAATTTTGACATGTCCTATGACTAATAAGATTAAATAACAACAAATTCAAAGGTGAAATAAATCAATAAATGACTCTAAAGGCAAAGAGCGAAACAATTTTGATGGCCCACATTTTCTCCACTGGCATATAAAATCCGAGAAATAAAATATAACAATGAGTTCTTTAGTAACAATAGAAGTAGAAATAATGAAGAAGTGGAAATTGAAACAAATAGATAATAACAATGGAACACTTTTGTTGCATAAGTTTCATTATTAATAAAGATAGTGAGGTTGGAGATGATGTCATCTTTAGAATCAAAATATATTGACTTAAGTGCAAGAGCACATTTGGCATATTATGTGATCGATGAATACTAAGATAGTGTTTGGTAACATTTACGTTTTTGGTTTATGTTTACAAAAATTTTAGAAACTGATTTTTGTTTATTTTTAGAAAAACATAAACTATAAATACGTTTAGTTTGAACAAAATGTTTGAAAAATTTTAAAAACATAAACTAAAAAATATGTTTGTTCAGGCCTAAAATGTTCATTTATTTATTTATTATTTATGACAATGGGATCACACATATTATAATTGAAAAAAAAATTAATTGAAAACAAAAAATTTGGTAGTCAAATTTTTAAATTTCTATTTAAAAATCAACGTAAACTCATTTTTTGAGTTTACGTTTTTTCCTCAAATTTATAAATTGAGACAACCATTTATAAACCAAAAAAATTATCAAACAAGTTTTTATGACGGTTTTTAAAAATTTTGTAAATATAAACTGAAAATTGAAAACGAAATGGTTACCAAACAGTCGAAATAAAATTTTTAGAAAACAATTATAAGGTTAACTCATGGGGTGGAATGTTTAGCAGCTAAGAAACAATACGTTTATATAATAAATGTCACCGATATGAGGGTGCTTAGATGGATGTGCGGTGAGATTAGAATATACAAATTAGAAATATATATTCTTGAAATAATGGATTAGCATCAATTGCATATAAGTTGAGAGAATTTTATAAGATGGTTTTGCTCATGTACGGCAAAAATCTGTAGATGCAACAATAATTATAAGGGAAAGTGATATGTTCTATATAAAAGAAACTGTTAAGAGAATACATAAACTAACATGAAATGCAGTAGTAAAAAAGGATATAAATTTGTTTAATTTAACTAAGCATATTGCCCTTGACAAAGAAAAATAGTGAAAAAAAATTTATGCAACTAATCTCACTTGATTGGGACATAAGACTTAATTTGGTTTGGTTATGGTTTTGGGGGGGGGGGGGGGGGGGGGGGGTTGACAAAAATCCACTCATACAGGATTAGAAAGCATGAGCCAACAAATCTATCCGAACTTTGACCATTGCTTGGTCCAACAAGACTAAAGACTCAAGTTGTCAAGGACACCACTCAGCCATACATTTTGAACAGGAAGAATAATACCACCCATATCTTCTACTCATTACCCAGGATTCAAGTTCATAGGGGGCAAAAATTAATGCCTTCTATTATAACAAAGAAATCTATATTTTCAATAAAAGGAAAAACCCAATCACTCTTCTCTTTTCGTCTTTGTCCCTTGTTTTTTTTTTTTTGGTTGAGGGAATAGGGGCTGTAGAAACAAAAATAACAAGAACCATGCAAACCGATGTCTAATTGTACTCAAAAGACAAAGTAGAAAAAAAATCCAATCTTCTATAGAATAGCTGAATTACATCTAACAAGAAAACACAATTCCCTTAAAAAGACTCAGATAATCCTTGCTAGCAGGCAAAATGATGAACCCAAGGAAAACATGACTTCTATAAACTAAAGTACTTAAGTATCCCAATATCTCTCTATTTACAATTACCAACAACTCTCCAAGGACCAGTGATGGTGAAGAAACTATTTGATGATGTAAGATGTATCACCAGATTCACCACTCATAGTTAATACATTAACTACAATCAGTTTTGCCTCTTTAGGTCCCACTATTGTGAAAAAGTGCATTTTTGTTTCTGCGGAGAGATAGACCATAGGAAACCTATCATTTTGTGTATACAGGAGATACTATTTTGGGCACCAAAGCATAGATAACAAAACAATTTTTTAAGGCAAAAGTATGAACACATCTACCATGTGAAACACCAGCACCAGTGTTGACATAAATTGTACAGAGAAACCAATACTAATTTTTGGCATTTAATATCCATGCTCTAATCACCTCCCCCCTGCCATTCCAAAAAGTAATACAAGTAACAGCCTTATGACAACTTATAGATCAAAAGTTTGTCTGAGAAATCTTACCATGAACCAAGAATTTGGGGTCATCATGCCTGCTGAAAACATTGACAGAAACTCTTCCACCACCACCTCCTGCAAATCCATTACCCCCAGAAGCACTTATTTTGCCACTACCACTCCTGTTCTTCATAAAGCAATAATTAGAGCATTGAAAAATGTTTCAAGCAAGTATACTGCCTTGAGAAACATGAATTTAAGGGGACACCAGTGCATGGTCAAATCAAAATCCACAAGTTATATTAGGGGCATATCTAGAGAGAATGTACAACTCACAAGATATGGTAATCAGTAAACTGGCACTAAACAAAAAAAACTAGTTAATTTCATTAAGTGATTAATGTTCTAACTTCTGAGAAAAACCAACATCTAAAAGCTTCCTAAACTATCTTGTAAGTGTGCTAGTTTTGCATCCAAGGAATGAATAACAGAGAGGAACACGTGCTTGACAAAAACATCTTTATTTTGCGAGGTACACAATGTATAGATTCTCTGTTGTTCGAGTTAAAATCTCCTCCTCCCTTCTCCTTTATTGTCTAATGAAGATAGTTCAATCTAAAACTTCTTAGTTGGCCGAGGTGCCTTTGTTGGTGGCCTTGTGCCAATATTAGGATCCTGGTGCACTAATAAAGGATCATGGAATTCCAAACAGCAGTCACAAGGAGGACTCAAAAGTTGCATACGGAGATATAAAATGATATACAAATTGTGGTCTGGGTTATATACAATAGATTAAACCTTCGGTTTCACATTGCAAGTTACCAGTGTAAATGAATTGCTCACACCTCAGAGATTAAGAAAACTCAGCAAAATACAGTAATCTAACCGTTGACTCCAGGAGTCATGATTGTGGAACTGCTAGATATATAACTAGCAAGTCTTCATTATTTTCCACATTTGATAACTCAGTTTGTTCGTGCTGATGATAGTACTTAAGCAATGAGAGGACAAAAGTTCATTGAGGATGATGAAGTTAGTTCAAAGGTGAACTCTGCTTCTGCAATTGCCATAAGCACTGTGAGTATTGTGGAACTCTATGCTCTCTTAAGACAAGTTAAGCTCGCTAGTAATGAAGGGTTTAGGGCATTAAATATGTAGTTGAATCTGATTCTCAAGCAGTTAAATTTTAGCGACTAGGAACTCTGAAGCTTGACCCTAACAGAAATATGACCGCAGACTGGAAAATTATCCATACCAAACATGGTCCTGCATCATCCAAACGATAAGATGGGGAACCTACGTAAAACTAAGCTTTTAGTATTTTTTGTTTAGCCAAAGAATTAAAAATAAAAAATAACTGTGTATAAACTGGTCTTGCAAGTCACAACCGCAACATCCCCTAGGATCTTCCTGTGATTTAGTAATATTGACCACGACCTTGAGTACCCGCTGACACCTAAGTAAGTGACTCTTTGCATTTCCCTAGACTACTCATGTCAATGCAAAATCAACATAGTAATTCCACACCACTATGTGAATCAATGTAATACAGACCATGACCTTTAAAAAAAACTGAATAGAGAACGAAAATTAAACATTCCTAATTCTTGGTTACAAATAAGTACTCATTTTCACTCCAAAAAATTAGCTTCCAACATAACCTTAGTTAAATTTACTCAACTTGTTAAATCAAATACATATTTTCATGTTGCCAAACCAAACTAAGCCTTGTATCCCGATCAAGTGGGACTGGCTACATGAATCCTTTTTCGCCATTCTATTGCTATACATATTTTCATGTTCTAACCTAGTAATATTTATTCATTTACTCATCTCAATAATTTGACTACAAGATACAATACAACTGTTTAACCATAGCTATATGAAACCTCTATACACCAATATCATATATTTCAAGTGATTTTCATAATAAACTATAGGTCATTCGACACCGCCTTCACTCACATCCCTTTTAGCCTTCCTCCATCTTGTCCTTGAACCATCAACTTGACTTAAGATACTCCCTTGCTAGCATAGCAAGCAATTTGTCTTCATTGCACATGAATAAATCATCACAACTATTTTCTCTTATCAACAAATAATGACACATACAACTATTTTAACCATAATAAGTAAAGAACCTTAAAGACAAACTTTTTTTTTTTTAAGCAAAGAAAAAAAAAACACCCAATTTAGATCCACCTGCTTCACTCCAATTTTTACCAGTCTACTCTATATTTTTTATATTTTATATATTTTTGCAAGTCTAGTTATAGGTTTAACTACATGCACAACATATATATTTACATTCTTTCTTTAATAGACATCACAAAACTATTTCTCTAGACAAAATTGGCATCAAAAGAGACCACAACAATGTGGATATATTCCTATTCTCTACCAAAGACAAAACTTTGCATCACTCCCTTACAAATTTTCATGAGGCTCATAATTTTGTTCCACAACAAGCAAACCAATGTAAACAAAGCATATGCAAATGTCAGTTATATGCACTAATTAACAATAGTATCTTAAAAGTTGAGAAGGGATTACATTTTGGGGGACTTGATGTAAATGCTGCCTCCAGATCCTCCACCTCCTTTGATACCACCATCACCACCATCAGCTAAAAAACTCCCATGAACTTCAATAGCACCTTTTATGTAAAACCCAATTCGTCCACCGCCTTTCCCTCCATAATTCTCTTCTCTATTTGTAGTGCCACCCTGACTACCATAACTCCATGGCTCTCCCAATGAAGCCCATGAATATGCATCCCCACCCCACACATCCTCAGGAAGCTTTGTATTATCCATCACACAACTAGCCCCTCTCCCTCCATGTCCTCCGCCTGCCCCCTGTACACCCGCGGGAGTCCCACTAGTCTGCTCCGGCGGCTGACCTGCCAACGCCGTCACATTAATCACAGAACCATTGAACAATGTAGCACTCCGCGACACCAGCGACACGGTCCCAGCTATCATCTCTGCATTGAAACCCAACCTAAATTCACCACTAATGTTAACCAAAATGGAACAACCCTTCACTGGGCAACTCAATCTAGCCCCTGGAAGAATATAGAAATTCCCAATTCCCTCTATATACACATCGTCAGTGAAATTCAAGCTAGAACTCACTTCGCACGAAGTGTCGAGCGACCCAACTCCCATCAAATCCTCCTCGCACGAGACCGAAGGCGGGTGAGGCGGCGGAGAAGGAGGCGGTGGCGACGGAGGCGAGTAATCGCCGTGAAATGAAACGAAATCGCCGTCACTGTCGGCCGAGGCAGACACAAACCCTAATTGGGAAACAAAATTGGAATTGGGGATTGTGATGATGTGAAGAATTAAGATATAAAAAACATATGAAGAAGACGAAGCCATTGGAGGAGCGACAAACTCATAACCAGAACTAAAACCCTAATTTCGATGATGAAAAAAAAAGAAGAAAGTGATTTTGAGGTGGATTTTTAGAATCGGTAACAACAGAAGAGCTCTAGAATTCGAGCTAGAATTGAATTGAAGCCACGCATTTCGATTGTGAATGATGAGATGAGCCGAATGAGTTGTGGTGATTAGCAATTCAAATAGTACATTTTTGACATAAGAACATTTTTCTGGGTGGTTTGTTTCTCTTTCTATACAAAACTATATGTATGTATGAATGTATGCGTGTGCGAGGATATTGTTAAAATGGGATTAAAATGTTCAAAATGGCACAAAGAGGGAAATTGGCCGACGAGTGGTAAACAGGTGGAAAGATGACGATGAGCTGGGGGCCGCAGTGGACACGCATTCGGTTCTGGGCTTGTTTCATCAAAGGCCCATATCAAATTGACAGCCACGGGCCTTATTGTTAACTAAAGACTGAAGTATAGGATGACCAAAAAAATTGTAGTAGTCGCTATCGCAAAAATTATTTATAAGTCTTATTTGTAAGTTTTTATTTAATATAAAATTTTATGAATATTTTTTAGAATTTAAAATTTTATTTAAATAGGAATGTGTTTCATAAGGTCATATGAGTTGTAAATAAATATTAGTGTACTATTATACCTTTAATTTGTTTCCATATTGTATCTTATTTTTTTCATTCATCATACCGTGTTTAGGAAGGTTTTTAGAAAATATAAGTCTATAAGCAATGATCGTGTGAGTTTTTTCGCCTTTTATCGCGGGATTTCTAGTGCATTTTCAACATGTTGTTTAAATGGATGTGGATGTAGTCAATGATATGATGAAGTTTCAGAGTTGTGTGTTGGTTCTTTTGATAGATTTCAACTCCAATCGGTTGAGGGGAAGTTTTTTTTTTTTTTTTGAAGTGTGTTGCTGTTTGTTAAAATGTGGATTGTTCATCTTTAATAGGGTATTGACAATCTATTACACTCATTGATAGGCACACTTTAGCCAATGTTCTGATTGAATGTGTGTATTTGACATTGTGATGGTTAATGCATTTTGATATATTCGATGTGTGGGGTCATGTGTATGGGTTCAAGAGTTGGGTTGGGGGTATTTGGTTTTGGTTGTTAATTGGATGTCGAATGTGAACCACGTCGTAGGACGACAATTGTACATTGTGACTTGGATGATCGTGTTACAATGAATGTTACATTTAGTGTGTAACGTTAATGCACATACACCATGTAGTAGATGACATTTATGTATTTGTTCGATTGTATATGTGTTTGAATGTGTATCGTGTCTTTATTGTAATCAGTGTTTACATATATATCATAGTATGTTATGCAAAATTATTGGGGATTTGAGTTTTTAATTGAATATGGATTGAATCACATCGCTCGATGTTAAAGTTACGTTGGGTTGGGGGTGATATTTAGGAGTTTGCATTATTCATAATTCAACGGTGGAGTATTGGAATGTTACGTTGGGTTTGGGATGAAAAGTATATGGGAATGTCATGGTGGGTTTTGGAGGTTACATGTTACATTTACGTTGGGTTTGGGATAAAAAGCATATGAGAATGTCATGTTGGATTTGGAAATATCACATTGGGTTTGAGATATAAATAATATTAGGAATCATGAAAAAAAATCATGAAATCTTTTATGAAGATTTCTCCTCCTTTGATTAGTTTGTGGTGTTTTCTTGTATGTGTAATCTAATGGTGAAGAATCTTTCATGATCATTTTCATGATATTTTTTTCATGATACCTAGCATTATTCTTGAGATATTACATGGTACATTTATGTTTTGAATTTTAAATTTCCAACCATATAAATATGATCACAATTTATGATAACATTAGATTTCTCATATATGGTGTTGCCATTAATCAAGTTATTTTGAATTTCAGAAGCATATGAGAATGTCACGTTGGGTTTAGAAATGTCACATTGGGTTTAGGATGTTACATGTTACATTTGCAGTTTGAATTTCAAATTTCCAACCATATAGATATGATCACAATCTATAACAATATTGGATTTTTCATATATGGTATTGCCGTTAATTAGGTTATTTCGAATTTCAAATTTCAAATTTCTAATTTCTAACCGTATGAATGTAATCATAATCTATGATAACTGTATGGGTGAAAATCTGACCACACTGCCCGCCTAGTAATCAGCTGGAGAGTACTGGCAGAATAGATGGCTTTAGCAAACCTGTAACAGAAAGAAAAAGGCTCCGGCAGTGGCTCTTCCACCCGGGGGCACTCCGACGATCAAGTCAGTATATCTCTCAAAGATAATCAAGTGCCAAACTCACAAGCTTAAGCATAAAACTGCGTACCTTAGACCCACGGGGGTGCCTCTCTTTTATAATTTACTTAATCCTAGTTCCACTAGAAGCCTCACTTCTATGGACTCTAATTCAATACTGACTTTGGACTCTTCAAGAGATAAAGATAAACTCCCTAAGAGCTTTATCCTTATCTTAGCAAAGTCTTCTCTTTACTCTAGGACTCCTGTCCGTTATCTTTTATCCATTTATCTCGGATTCCGATATCTTCGGAGATAACCTCAGCCTTGCCGAGATAACCTCGGCGTTATAATTTGGACACGTGGCACCTCGGCTGACACGTCGGCGTCACCTTACCACGTGTTGGTATTAAAGAAAATACATCCCCACAACTGCCCCCTAGGTTCTATTATCTCGGCATTCTGAGGTGATGAAACCTATATCTGTATTGTCTTCTAGTACCTCGGCATAAGAACTCTTCGGCCGAGATCATTCATGTCAAGCCGACATGTTCCCTTCGGAGAACAAGAATTCCAGTGATCTTTTTCATATGTGTGAGCTGTCACGAATCTTTTACTCAACCGTTTCTCTTACGCGTCTTTACCTTATTGGTCCGTGTCTGTGACGCGTTTGTAAGCCGTCTTTCATCCGTCTGCGCTGTCTAACGCACACGTTCCTCCAAGCGCAATAAATGCCCTGTTTTGTCGCCGTTTTAAGTTTTTGATAAAACTTTACTCTCTTTCTTCGTTTCTTTACTTTTGCACTTGATTTTCTGGCTTTCTCTCTCTTTTAAACTTTCCCTAAATCCGCCATTACTCTAGCTTCAAGCTCTGCAGCCGTCTTCATTCTTCCATTTCAGCGAAGCTTTTGCCGTTCCGTCGTGTTTGTAACCATTGCCTTACCTCGACGACTTTCATTCCGGCTTCATTTGCTCTGGTAAGCCTCTGTTCCTCTCATTCCCAATTTCTTCAATGTGCTTTCGTTTACTTATTGCCATTATTGCTCTGTTCAAACCTTTGATTTGCTGAACTATTCATCTGGATGCGTCTATTCCATGATTTCGCTCGTATTTTGAACACTTGCATTGTTTCAACACTTTTCTTGCCACTGTTCTTGACCTTTTACTTATGTATTTCTTTCGCTTCTGAGAACCATACCTCTGTTCTTTGATTCTGAAACGTCGTTCTTTGTTTCTTGTTGTCCAGATTTCTGCCTTTAAATTTTGCTTTCAATCTTTGCCTTCATAGATTTAGGTTTGGGTTTTGTCTATAGAACCTTCAATTTTTAGGGAAAACTGAAACAATCCTTACCAGCATACACCTAGGGTTTCGCCGAGGTCCAAACAACCCCTTAAGAGCATCTTCTTCCTGAAACCTAGCCCTCTGATTTTAGGCCGACGTTATGGGAATGTGGAGACATAGGGTAGACACCCCGACCAAACTTGAATACTTTAGGCAGGAGTTCTCCATCCCTGCTGATGTCCACTTGAGACTTGCTCAGGATAATGACTCTATCATGCCTACAGAAAACACCATGCCCCTTCCCATTGTAGCTTTTACTGAGTGTGGACTCCGGCTCCCACTCAACATCCTTTTTCACGAGATTCTGCATTATTATAAGTTGAACCCTATGCAACTTGCCATAAACTCTTATCGAGTGATTTTTGGTATCATCGCCTTAGCCAGACAAGAAAACGTTAGAATCACCCTAACCGATATACAGTATTGTTACACCATGTGCCCCCTTAACCTGAAGGAAAAAGGTTACGTCTATTACCTCAAGCCGAGGTCCACTAAATTCAAAATCGTAGCCGACCTTCCAGACTCCAACAAGGGGGCTGGAGATGATTATGTTATCGCTTCGGGAAATTGGGAGTTTGGTGCAGACGAGGACGCCCATCTCTACCCTCTTCCCCGATCAATTAAAGAGGGCAAGGGTAAGAGCCCAGTGTCAATACTTAGTTGTTTCTGTTTAAGTCTTCAACATTTTATCTATTTCTAATGTCTGTTTCTTCTTGCAGACGTTCGCAAGCCAGCGAAGGATTTTCGCCAATCTTACGTTCCTAGCAAGGACCTGGAAAAGCTCCTGGACTTGCCTGTCCACAAAAGAAAAGCACCTCTTCTTCTAAACTTTATTCCTACGTACAAATCCACTCTGCCCGACGTCCCGAAGAAGAAGAAGAAGAGTCTTTCTCCACCTTCTGCCACAACTCTTCCCACTGCTTCCACATCCCGAGCAGACCAAGGATCCACTTCTGACCCAGCTGATCTGCCATCTACTTCAGTCCCATACTTAATCCCAATACCAGAAAGAAAACGTCGGCGACGACTTGTCAAAACTGCTGAAATGGGTCGTCCGAAGCCTGTTGCCGTAGATCTCTTAGCTGACCTACCTGCCGACGTTGATGCTGTTCCAACTCAATCCATGCTCCCACCAAAGCCAAAAAGAATCAAAAAGGCTCAGCCTAAGGCCAAAGCCATTGTAGTTAAGACTGAAGATACTCTGCCAATTTCACAATTGGCTGGGAGTAAGAAGACTCCTTCTGCTCCTGTAAAAAGGTCCGCTGAAACCCAACTCTTTGAGTCCACACAGTCAAAGAAGCCAAGGTCATCGTCTGCGACGACCTCAGGTTCCAAAATACCAAAAGTCCCTTGGACACCTGAGATTACTTTAGAAGATAAGCATGTCCTTGCCAGCGACAGCGCCGATGATATAAACGTCGGCGTGGCACTCAGTACTACTCTACTCCTCCCAGGCGATCTTGAACGGAATGCCAAGATGAGTGAGTATGGGAACTACGCCTTAATGCTCCAGCACTCTGTTCAAGTAAGTGTTCCTATTTTTTGACTTTCTTTCTGTTTCATACTTAAAATATTTTCTAACACTTCTGTTTTCTCTCAAGCCATCCAGCATGCTCATTCGTTTTCAGTGCAGTCTTTTAAGAACCGAGAAAGGATGACCGAGATGAAGAAGGAGTTTTCT